CAAGCTTTGTTAGGTTCTGAATGTTATCTGAATTGTTAAGAAGCGGCAAAGGGTCTGAGCACATCAAAAACATGGGGTGTTTGCTGCTGACATCACTGGAGGAAGGAGAGGCCCCCACAATTGGGGCTGATCCTTGATTTATGCCTCCCCCCATCCAACTGCATGGAATGCAAAAGCAAGCCTTATCTAACTTTGATTGGTTTTGACTGCATAGTTTGAAAACAGTGCACATAAGTTAATCTTTACAAATAGGACCAGTGTTGTTACTGTCTGTAGCCATTTTAGTGGGGGAGAGTTAATGGGTGTAGTGTTCTCCTATGATGTAAAATTAGTCTTGGTTGTAATGTCTCTCTAAGGAGCTGCTCTAATTAATGCAAAATACTCTAGTTACTACTTAATAAATACCAAGGCTCTTCTAAATGGCACAAAATTAAGATCTTTTATTTAGCAGATCCTATAGATGAGGGCATGTGTTAACCTTTCAAACACTTGAGCTTTCTCCAGCAATGGTTATAGATGTGGTGTGAGAGGAACAGAACATCTGGGCTGGGGTGTCAATATTTTTCAGAACAGACCAGAATCTTGTTCATGCTGTCTGGTTAGTAAAGCTACCAACAAAGGTAACATTTCAGAAAATAAACGAATGTAAGAGAGAACTGTTGCAAAACAAACAAAATCCCTAGAACAGATTTAGACTGTGTGTGTGTGTGTGTGTGTGTGCGTGTGTGTGTGTGTGGTCTGAACCTTTCTCCTCTAAAAACTGCAAATGCAGCTTTTTCGGTGCTGTTAACTAAGTTTTTATGTACCAACTAAGGAAATCAAAATTTGAAGTGAAATATTGTTTAATATTACCACCTTTATTTTGACCCTCTTAATGGCATTTATGAAGATATGACTTAGTTAGAAAATTTCTAGTTAGAACTTAGTTATGTTGCTGTATCTCATAGTGATTGCAGACTAATTCAGTCTTCTCTTCCTCTGTATAAGAAATGAGAAAATACAGTTCAGAAAGTATACATTTCATTTCCTATTTCTGAGTTTACCATTCCCTTGCCACATACACTACAAACACAGATAACCCAATTTAAATCCAGAAATTAAGACCCAGACCATCCAACTTCCAGTTATGCAAGCTGAATTTTCACTCTCTTTGAAACAAAATGCACCTGCAGTCAGTTGAAAAATACAGCTTAGAATGTAATAAACTGTTGCAGGTATATAGCAATTTTGGACTGGTGATTCATGCATCGGAGCCGGCTTTTCTCAATGCAAATATTTTCTTTGCAGACTTCTGTATAGCCAGGACAGTTCTATGTATCATAGTGTGGGTGAACCTAAAACCTAGTGGAGTTGGTGTAAATCAGGAGTAGCGCAAAGCGATTGATAAATGGCCCGCTTGTAAATTCAGAATAAGGGAGATCACAGTCCGACCCTGGAGAGTGTGTGTGTGTGTTTGCTTGCTCGTGTATTCGGGGATTTTTCATGTTTCCAGATCTGAAAGTTCTAACTTGATGAATTAAAAGGCAGCGGGGTAATCAAAAGGCAAGGAACGTTTACAGATGTGTGTGTGTTTGCTCGCTCGTGTATTCGGGGATTTTTTCATGTTTCCAGATCTGAAAGTTCTAACTTGATGAATTAAAAGGCAGCGGGGTAATCAAAAGGCAAGGAACGTTTACAGACACGTTTGCGTACGTGTCAATCGATACCACACACACACACACACACACACACACACACACACACACACACACACAACTATCCTCAATGCAACTGCTGCATTTCTCAGGATGCGCTTAATCAGCTTTCCAGCAGAAGTTGACTTCCCCCTCCCCCCCCCCCCCCCCTACGACTCGTATTTCCAAACCTGTCTGATAGCTCGGCTTGATCAGCCCTGCTTGTAACCCCTGAGCCTGTTTCCCAAACGCGGGGAGCGGCGCAGCACTGTAGTGCAAACAGACCCACAGAAATGAGAGCGAGAGGGGAAGGTAACATGAATTTAAATTCCAAAGGGGTTTCAGCGCTGGTTTCCTAGTTCCCGAGTCAGCTATGTGTTTGTGAAAATTCAGCCTTTTTGTCTCTTAGAAAAAAAGGGCTAAATCTACATCGGTGGCCCAGTCTAGGTTTGCTATTCTTTGCATTTTCTATTCAAGTGAATGAGAGTGAATGAAGTGGCCTGGGACCCTTTATTTGATCTACTCAATTGCATAAAGTGACAGAATTCTAATATATTTGTTTAATGCTCTTCAATGGGGCTTTCACTTGCTAGCTTGCAAATGAAGCTTCGATCTACAAAGTTTTGTCCTTTTTCTTCCTCCTCTTCCCCCCCCCTTTTTTTTGGCAAAGGGACATATTTCATAATTTGGGCCGTGGTGTGAAGCGATCTCGAGAGGAGTTTTAGACTCGAAAAGTGGGGAATAAAGAAACAGATGTGAAGTTATTGTAAATGCCGATCGTAGGCTCTGAGGCTATTGTAAACCCACTGCAGGCGGTCCAAAGCCTCTCTTTTTCATGCTGTAATTGAAACATATTAATTAGATAATTTGTTGTTAGTTTAAAAGAAACAAATACAGCCCCTCTACGGCTTCACAGCCTGCATTCCTTTTTGATGGAGGTGGATTTAAAAAAAAACCCCTCCCAAAACCTGACAATTAAGATTTAAAGATAATCCTGCACTGAAACTGACGATAAATTCTCCTTCACTTTCCTAAGGAGCACTTTAAAAACAGAGTTTTGCTTGTGAAATTCCCTTATAGGGCTCTCTGTGAACCCTTCCTTCCCCCCCACACAGACACACACACACAACCTGGCAAGATTGCAGTGAGTCTTCCCCGCAAAACACGATCAGAGGCCACACTTAAAAACTGTGTAAAGAAAACAAGTGTCAGAAGGATCCTGGCTTCTTTCGGTCCGCTTGGGTTAGAGCCTGATCTTACAGCGGACAAAAAATAAGAAACATACGGACTAGAATGTATCCAGAACTTACGCATTGAAAGGAAGCAAAAATCCAAGGGCCAAGCACTTGGGATGTACTCTTCTAAGACAAGAGGAGTGCTTCTTGTCTGCAATTCCCTGCTCTTTACATCAAAATACACTTCGTTTAAAATGTATCCGTAGCAAAAAATAATTGCAAATCACCCTTGAGTAAAGTCTCCAAACAAGATTCCAGCTCGGCAACCTGTGGTGGGTGCTTTTTTTCCTCCCCCCTTCAGATCTGAGTTTATTGACTTTGGACTTGAGCCATTAGAGATTTAACAAGACAAAGCAGTAAATTCAAGGGACACTCTGCATTGCTTATTTGTGGCATACCTTTGAAATGCACATCTAAGCCTTTACCAAGCAAAGAACGAAAAGAATGACTTGTGAGTTTGCTATGAAAACGTAGCTTGTCAATACTCGTTATGGTCTCTTCCTGGTAGCATAGTGTGAAAGGTGGTGCTGGTTATTGGCAAAGAAAACTCTGCATGTGGTGAAATGTTATGATCCTGTTGGCAGATATAAAAATGGCATTGAATAATATGATTAAAGCTGTGAGAAATACACATTTTAAAGGCTTTTTCCCGGGTTCTTTTCTAATGCGGATTAGAAATTTAGATGGTAAACAGAGAGATTGTAAAGGTGTAAACTTTGCTGATCATGATCCCGCCGGGGTACTGTATAGTTTCAAATTATTCTGCAAATGTAATTAGATCTAGTTGGATCTTCTCACTGGAGTTAAGTTTTTTTTAACTGTTGGAATTGTTTCTTTTTTTGGTATATTTTTGTAAAGAACTCGTAGGCAAATGTAGGTCATCGCTTGTTTCGGAAAAGTTTGTCGAGTTTTGTGTCCATTGATCTGGTGATAAGTTGTGAATGCTTTCTTTAGCTGATCGTGTTGATATAATCGTGGGTTGGACTTGATGAATGAGTTCAGTTGTCCCCCATCTGACAAGCTTTAGCAGCTTCATGCATTTTAATCAGCCCAATGATTCATGTATTTTCCACCTTTTTTTCCTGTGTGGGATCCGCTCTTAAAGTCGCAACTGGATTAATTATACTCTACATTAACCTTAAACTTTTTTTCCGAGTACCTTTCTATATGTATTTAAGGGAGATGGGGCTTTCTTTCAAATGTCTGTATCTACAGACACAAACCCATAGAAATGCACCTCTTTAAAATCACTTACATTGCATCCTTTAGGTTCATTAGAACACAATGTCGATTTTCTTTTTAATAAGTATTTAAGTATCTTATTGTCATGTAACTACATTATTGGAATGTTATTACATCTGAAAGGCTAACACACTAGTTTTACTAGATTATCTCCATTAATTTGAATTCCAAATTCTCAATAATTATGCAGAATCTTTGCAAAATCCTAAAAAGAAATTCAAAAGAAATGCATTGGAAACTTTGAAATCCAGATTTCAAAGTTGTTTCTTACTACATTTTATACAAAGAAAAATTCTGTTAATTTACAGATTAAAATAATAACACTGTATGTTTGTTCGTAATCTAGGTTGGTTTGTTTTTTTTTAAAAAGACGTTAATATACATAAAGAACAGTAGTTGACAGCTAAAATACGTTGATTTTACTCAAAACTAAATAGAATGCATTGTTTTATATGGAGGTTTGGAAATATTTTGATCTGCCTCTTGCATTACAAAATTCTAGTGTTTCTAGTGTTAAAAAGTTCAGTGTGTTAAAAAAATGTTTTGAAATCTGAATTGCAATCCAGTATTGCTAAGGTTCGTTTATTATTATAGTTATTCAAGGAAAAAGTCTATTCGTGTTCCGTGTGTGTGTGTGTGTGTGTGTATATATACACACCCACACACAGTTTTTTAACTAGGCATATAATTCACACATACAGACATATGTATAAATAGCATGTTACATATGTTTTTATATATATACTAGTGTAGTTTATGAACTATAGCTTGATTTTTCCATTTGGTAATCATGTGAGAATGACCTTATATAGAAAGCTTTTGTATTTTATTAAACGATTATATTTATAGTTACAGTTCTCTTCATCCTGTGAAAAATTTATGTAGATCAATTAAAATTGAAATATTGGATTTCCCATCTAAACTAATATTCTTATTTTCCGGGTACAAACTCTTCAAAAAGACGAATAAGAAAGTAAAAGTGAATTTACATATTTTAATGAGAAAATAGTATTTGGACGACTAGGTTCATAATTTAACGTAGACGCTTCCCCTTTTTTAATTTTTGTCTTAACACGCATGCTGGGAACAAGAACATCAATATTTAAAATATCATGCTCATTCTGTACAAGGAAAATGTTAAAAAGGAATCTCTTTACAGCTGCGATGAACACTACCACGTTTTGTTTTTGTCTTAACTTAAGCAGTTCACAACAGTTCGGTTTCCAGCAAACTACCTAAAAACTAGGAAGGGATATAAGCAAACAAAAGTGCATGTTACACGTTTATAATCATTCCTATTCACAGACATTTACAGTGTCTTCTCTCCCCTCCCCCCTAGCCCCCTCTCAGTTTGTCTGAAAAGTTCCAACAGAAAACAATACCTTTTCCCCCTGTTGTGGTGCTGCCTTGCTCTTACCCACTGACCTGAGCAGCTTGACATAAGCTACCTTAGGTTGTCTGCTTGGCAGAGGATTTGTTTTCTCTCTATTGCTTTACTTTTAATTTTCTTAAACCAAAAATAAATCTTTCAAAAACTCACACACAAATAACTCCCCCTCCTCTTCCACCTGCAAATGAAACAGCCACATGACAACAGGTACTGGAAAAGAGGACCTATTTTCTCTCTCTCAGGACAGACTGAAGTTCAGTATTTACATTAGAACAGGCGTTTTTGTAAACAATATACGTGTTCAGTGTGGACTGGTGGCTTGCCATTTGCATGGTTTTTCTGCCCTTTTGTACTTAACACACATTCTTGTACATAAATCGGTAGTCGAAGTGTAACTTCCCCCATGCAAACAATGCTGAAGCCAGTGGAACTTTTCAGCCCAGGATGGTAACTGGCAGGCTCTCAAGCTTTGGGGACCTGTTTCACGCTTTCCTTGTATAACGTTGTATAAATAGGAATTCATCTGGCTAAGTGGTTCCTGTAACCCTGCAAGCTTTTAACTCTCCTGGCTTTTTTGAAATGGAAAAGACACTTGTTTCCACAATCCAGCTAAGCTGGAAACAATCCCGAAAACAAGCGGTCCCCCCTCCCCCTTTCCACTGGCTCTGGTTTTAAAGGCAGGTCCTGGGTGCAAATGGTGCTCTCCCCAGACAAAGGCAGGGACCCGGGCTTGTCTAACGCTCCCGCGGTAGTTTCGGGGGAAGGTGCCTTAAGGACTGGAGGAGACCTAGCCATGCAGATGGCACTTTCTACCTCGAACAGCCACTTTCCGAGTGTGTCAACCAAGTTACGGGACAGCCACCCACCGCCCCGGGACGGACCCCCTCGGTCTGGGAGGCGAAGCCCAGACGCTCAGCAGGGTAGCAAACCTCGCGGCTTCCCGCCGGCAGCTTTCTCTCCTCTCTCCGGAGGGAGGAGAAAACTCCGAGGAAAGTTGGGAGCGAGCTGCGGCGCGGGCGGCCCGGGTCAGTGCACGGCTACCGAGTGCAGGGCCGAGGCGGGGCTGGTCAGCGTCTCGCTGGGCGTCGCGGGGCTGCTTTGGCTGGTGACTGTCTGGGACGAGGTGGGGCTGAGCGAGGGGGGCGAGTTCGTGAGCAGGGTGGGGATGGGCGCGGGCAGGGCCGCCAGGGCGGGCACGGCCGCCGGGGGGGGCTTGATGGGCACCGGGATGGCCGGGAGAGTCTGCCCGCCGTGGCACAGCGGCTTGAGGGGCACGCCGTAGGCGCTGTAGTCGCCGCCGGCCATGGAGAGGGGGGCGGCCGTGTCGAGCAGGCCGGAGCCGTACACGTGGGGCCAGCCGGGCCCCAGGGAGCTGCCCAGCTGGTTGGGCAGCGGGTAGGCGGCGGGCACGGGCTGCACGGCGGAGAAGGCCAGCCCGCCCGGCATCTTGTACTCGCGGGCGATGATGTTCTCGATGGCGAAGGGGTGCTTGAAGCCGGAGGGCTGGGAGACGCCCAGGCTGTAGGCGGCCATCTGGGGCAGGTGGGGGCCGCCGGCCGCCAGCGCGCTGAGCCGCAGCTTGCCCTGCTGCTGCAGGTACTGCGCCGCCTCGGCCGGCTTGCTGGGCGCCAGCGGGTCGGACTTGAGCACCTTGAAGCGCTTGCGGCGCCGCAGGAAGCTGCCGTTCTCGAACATGTCCCCGCAGCTGGGGTGCAGCGCCCAGAAGCTGCCCTTGCCCGGCTGGTCGGGCCGGCGCGGGATCTTGATGAAGCAGTCGTTGAAGGAGAGGTTGTGGCGCAGCGAGTTCTGCCAGCGCTGCGTGTTCTCCCGGTAGTAGGGGAACCGGTCCATGATGAACTTGTAGATCTCGCTCAGGGGCAGCATCTTCTCGGGCGAGCTCTGGATGGCCATGGCCGTCAGCGAGATGTAGGAGTAGGGCGGCTTCTGGTCGCTGTACGTGTTCCGGCCCGGGCGCGGCATCGTGGCTGGGGAGCCGCCGAGATCTGCGGAGGGGCGAGCGGGGTAAGGCGGGGGGCAGGCGGGCTAGGCTTTAAAGCGGGCCGGGGGGTGTGTGTGTGCGTGCGTCTCCGGGGCGGGGGGGACTGAGACAGAGCGGAGCTGATCCCCCCCCCCCGGGGTAAAATCGCCCAAACCCCTCCAGCCCCCGGGGGAAGCGAACCCCCCACGCCTCCGCTCCGCCGCTGAGTTACTTCGGCTGTCTCTCTGCCCCCCTCCCCTGCAGTTAGAGAAGGGGCTGCCCCCCCCGAGCAGGGGCTGGGAGCGGACCCTCCCCACCAGCAATGCCCACCTTAAAGTTGCTGGAAGTTGATAGTCCGCATCCGGGATGCAGCTGGGAGTCAGGTCTCCTCGCCCGAGCCCTCCCGCTTCCTTTCCGGCCGCTCCGCTTAGTTTTAGTCCGGAGGAGGCTGGGCTGTGGGACCCTCTCGCTCCCCTCCCTTCTCCTGGGAAGGCGGAATCCCGGCTCGGCTTCGCTCACCCCCAGCGGCTGCTGGACCGGGGCAGGGGCTCGCTCGCTTCGCCGCCGCCGAGAGCAGCTAAGGACTTGCCTCCATGTCCTTCCTCTAACCATCTGATAGTTTTATGTGGTGACATGAGCAGAAAAGACCCCTGCAGAGGCGCTTCATTAATGTGCCACTTCTTTGCTATCATATGACAATCGCCTTGGGAGGAGGGAGCGGGGGAGGAGGGGGGCTGAAAGAAAGGCATAATCTGGTTTCATTTACACCTATTTACATGGGCACCTTGGGCCAATAGGAATCATTTCCATGTGAAGACCCGGCGCGGGGTGAAAAGGCTCAGCGAGCGGAATGGGAGTGTGGTGGCACCCAGTAGCCGTGTGCGTGCGAAGGTATGCACTACCCTCTCGGTGGGCTCTGCCAGGGAGCTTAGTCTGCAATTCACACTTACAAATGGAGCTGCTGAGCAGTGGGATGTTTGACATGGAAATTGCTTGGCTGGGGTATTCTGTTTGTTCTGCATTGTGATCTGATTTGTATTGTTGGCTCACTCAAGGCACGGCTCTTTCCTTGAACGAGAGACTTTCTCTTTGCCAAATCAAACGGAGCCCAAGCCCGCTTTCCAAAGGCTAGGCCGATGAAAAGGCCAGGCTGGGCCCCTGCTTCACAACCATGTCGAAGTTTTCATGACTGTCAGCTACTTCCCCTGAAATTTAGAAACGACTGTTTGTTTGGTTACCACCAACGCTTTGGGTCCTGACAAAGTTGTGCTAGGCTGGAGAAGAAAACCCCGGGGGTTATTTTAGACACTGGAGAGTCTGATTTATGTAAATTGCCTCTGTTGGTTTCAGACCTGTGGCGATTTCACTGGATCCCAGGCGATACAAGCAACAGCTGTGACTGTGTTTAAAAAAAAAAAGTGTTTAATCCTATTCCTGTTCTAACCAGGCAGACCTCAGATTGGACGTTTACACTGCTGCGCAAGCATGGGGTTATTTATTCCATCTGCCTTGTTAACCTCTTAAATATTGTTTAATCTCCAAGCTAGCACAACTCGAGGAGTTTTGTACTGGGAAAGCGCATTTAGAGGATAGCAATAATACGCTGGAGTCTGTGTGCATGTGCTTATACACCCAGCTTTGTGTGTCTGGATATGTACACACACACACTGTGGTGTCCAAATCGGAGTAACTCAGGTACAGTCGATTGCACCGTCCTTTCTAGTAAGGGCCCGATCCCGGAAACTTTATTCAGGGGCGCAGCTCCATGGCGGCCCACGGGAGCGCTCAGGAGGCTTGGGCCTGATCCTGCAGCATGAAGGGCTGTCGAGGCGCTTGTCCTGTGAGGGAAATCGGAGCTAATGTGGCTCACTGTGATAATATAAGATGCGCAGAGGCGGGGCGGGCCAGGGGCTGTACGCCAAAGGTGCGGTGGGGTGTGGGCGCCCGGCGCCGGATGTCGGAGCGAGTCAGTAACTCACCGAAATGTCATTTAGCCACGAGAAATTTAGGCGCTTACACAAAGTCATTAATCCAGAGGGGGCGGCCGAGCCCGAGCGCGCCCGCTTGAGATGCGAGCGCACGTTTTCCAATATTCGCAGGAGCACTTGAGGGAAGGAAAAAATGTCAGCTTCTTAATTCAGCAAAAATACGCCAGGGAGGAGGGGGCAGCTGGCGCCGTCCGTCGGTCTGTCCGCACTCCTAGTCCCTGGATCCGCGTTTCCTGCTCCCGCCGGCCGCAGCGCGCTTTGCGCTGCCTGCTCGGGTCGGGCTGGGAGCCGACGAGTGCAGACGGAGTTGTGCTCTAGGGATCTAGTGAGTGCGGGTAGGGGCACTGGCGGGGGGAGGACAGGGGCCTCCAAAACTTTTTTTTTGAGTGGGAAAAGAGGGCATGA